GTGTACCACCTCTTAGCTATGGGCAAATATTTAACCCTTAAAATGGGGTTAAAACACTATGAAAGTATAAAAATAGGTTTTTATAGAAAATTTCCAGCAATACGTTTTGAAAAAAAATTACCAGCAATAAGTTTTTACGACAAAAAATATTTTTTGAAAATTAAAAAAAATACCAGTAATACATTTTTGAAAATAAAAAAAAGTAATATTGTGAGAGGCATTCTCTTCAGATAAAGCTATCCTGAAAATCTTGCTGGCATTAAATAACAAATTGAGGTAGATAAACCGTAAAACAAAATAAACTAAACTATACTCTTGACAAAAACCCTTTTTACAAAAATACTTTAATGAAACCTGATCTAGAAACTAATTTCTTACAAAGAATACATATTCTATTCATACGAACCTACCCTAAAAAATTTACCGCCATTAAATAACCCAATGAGGTTGATATACCGTAAAGCAAAATAAACCAAATCAGACTCTCGACGCAGAACCTCTTTACGTCAATGAAACCTGATCTAGAAACTAATTTCTTTCAAAGAATACATTTTCTATTCATACGAACCTATTCTAAAAATCTTGTCGGCATTAAATAACCCATTGAAGTGTTGATATACCGTAAAAAAAATTAAACCAAACCAGACTCTCGACGAAAACCCTCTTTACAAAAATATGACAATGAAACCTTATCTACAAACTAATTTCTTATAAACAATACATATTCTATTCATACGAACCTATCCTAAAAATCTTGTCGGCATTAAATGACCCATTGAGATGTTGAAATGCCTTAAAACAAAACAAAATAAACCAGACTCTCGACAAAACCCCTCTTTACAAAAATACGTCAATAAACCTGATCTAGAAATAATTTTTTTACAAAGAATACATATTCTATTCATACGAACCTATCCTAAAAAATGTGTCGGCATTAAACAACACATTGAGGTGTTGATATGCCGTAAAGCAAAATAAACCAAACCAAAATAAATTTATAAAATATTATTTTTG